GATAAACGATCAAACGAGCGAAAAGAGATTTTTTATATAATTTTCTATAGCGTAGCTCGTTTAAAGCTCGAGATCGGCTCGAACTTGACTCGTTGTGAGTGTTAAACGAGCCGAGCTCGAGCTCGATCCAGGCTCGTTGATTTAACCTGCTCAGCTCGTTTACGACCTAGCAAATTCGTATTCCCTATAGCCAAGTTTTCTTTGCTCTTGAAGTCATTTTTTAAACCAAGACTCTCTCTCCGTTCTGGCCGTATTGGGCCCGTACCCGATGGGTAAATCTTTTGGTCATGTAGGCTTTGCTATTACTATGTCCAAATTTAATTAGGTTAGGTTTCCTTTCTTACTCGCAGCACCACCATTCACTCTCTTCACTCTTCACTACACCCAGAGATCTCCATTCATACTCCATAATGTCGGCATCTGCCTCAAATCTAGCCCGACATTATTTTATAAATGGTCCAGCTTACGGGAATCCACCATTATATTGGTCGAGTGGTCTTCCTTCTTTTTTTTTTTTACTAGCGTTTTTTTTTGTGATTGGTTAAGAATGTTGTTCATGTTATAGTTAAGCTATGAGAAGATGAATTCAAAATTTGGTTTGTGAATGTAAATATTGTTGGTTTTGTGTTATGTTTTGGCCTCCTATGTGGTGTTCCCGTTTTGTATGAGATTTATGTTTAGTATATGTTAAGATATGTGGTTTAATGGCATGATTATATTGTTGTTGCTATACATTAAGTTCAGAACTATATGCTCAGTAATAAGGATTTTGGTTTGTATTGGTTGAGTTTAAGAAAAGAAGTAAATGAAGTGGGCTTTATTGTGTTTGATCTTGTGCCTTAGGTTTGCTGAGCTTTGGACACATTTAGCTTGCTGAAATCGTGGTTTTTTTTTGTTTTTTTTTTTTTGTTTTTTTTTCCTGATTAGCCTATTTATGTGTTGTGATGCTTGAGAGAAAAAGGTTATAGTTATTGTTTGAAGCAATGTTTTAGTTTTTTCCTGTGCTGAAGTTGGTGTTCGGTATGCTTATTATACCCAATTGTTGAAGAATTGAAGCAATGTTTGAGTTTTTTCCGTGCTGGCGTTGGTGTTATTATAACCCAATTGTTATAGAATCTACGTCCACCGGGAAGGCTCTTTCTAGGTTCTCACTACATTAGAGGTTACGACTACTTCAAGAGTGATGCTGACAAGACTGGGATTTTGCTCCGAATGTGGATGCGGACAACTTTGCAGTTCATTTTCTTAGTAAGCCTAGTGGTGAGCATGGACAAGTTCCAGCAACATGCTCCAAATGTACCTTCTTGTGAGCGAAGCTGTGCGCGAAAGACTTGGGCAGCTTGTTCTAGATCTTAATTCTAGGTATCAGGATAACTATTCCGTTGCTAAAAAGTTACTCATGCTAAGTTTCTGGTAACAGTGTATTTCAAGCATGGACATAATTTGGGATTCTTGTTTGAGGCTTATTTGGAGTTGGTGTGCACTGCCATGCACAATGTTAGAAGTAAGTGTTAATGTTTTGCATAATTAAATGATAGTGTTGACTTTTATTACTAATATTTTGTGTTTTCGGATGTAGCATTGCCTCGTCCACAGTTTTTACTCTCGGGATTTGTGCTAGCTAAAGAAACGGTGACGCAATTTGCAGATCATAATTCCATAATCAAACTCTGTTTGTATCGCGTGATACGTGGGATTCATGCTGGACGAGCGATCTTGAAGGAGATTGTGTATGCCTTCGATAACTTGTGCAACTCACTTATGGAGCCGGAGGCTATTCGGCTTGCTGGGGACAGCCTCCAACAGGATGAGGAATTCCTTATCCTCGAATATTCTCGAAAAGGTGACAAAGTTCTTCTCTTATCTTTATTTCTTTTTTTTTTTGGTATTATTCTAGAGACTGTTAGTTGTTTTTGTAGTGTTTCCGAATGGTTCAAATACAACTCAAACACTAATATCTTTTCATCATTTAATTGTTGAACTCTGCCTCTGTTGACAAGGAGACTTCTTCTTCTTCTGATTCTGAATGAAACACTCATGCAGCACCAACAACACCAACAAAATAGTACAATTGAATTTTGTGAATGATAGTTCAGAACAATTGAATTTTGTGAAACCTTTTCTAAGGCTTTTCTAACAATTGAATTTGTGAATGGGGTAGTTCAGAACAATTGAATTTTGAAGAGGGGTGATTTCATCATTGCGAATCTCTCTCTCATCTCTCTTATCTAGAAGTGTGTGATCTTCTATAGGCGACAAGTGTCTCATTTTGGCTGACAAGTGTCCGTTTTAATGATTTGAGGATGAGGACACGTGAGAAAACACGTGATTAAAGCTATTACATGAGAGAACACGTGATTAACAATACTTTTTGCAAAATCTTTAGATTTCACTTTGAAAATAGTTGTGAAATGTTTGGTTTGTCATAATAAAATGAAAAGGCTAAGAAGACAGTTTGTGCTTATTTCTTATTAGCTCACGTGTTATCTCATGAGTCCTCATCCTCAAATCATTAAAACGGACACTTTGTCAGCCAAAATGGGACACTTGTCGCCTATGGAAGACCACACACTTCTAGATAAGAGAGATTCACGCATAATAAGATGATAAAATCACCCTTTTTCAAAATTTAATTGTTTAGAACTACTTCATTCTCAAATTCAATTGTTAGAAAAAGCTTTACAAAATTTAATTGTTCTGAACTACTATTCACAAAATTCAATTGTACTACCATTGTATTGTTCTGTTGGTGCTGCATGAGTGCTTCATTCAGAATCAGAAGAAGAAGAAGTCTCCTGTCAAAAGAGGCAGAGTTCAACAATTAAATGATGAAAAGATTTTGGTGTTTGGGTTGTATTTGAAGCATCCTTGAACACTACAAAAACATAATACAGTCTCTAGAATAATACCAAAGAAAAAAAAAAGAGAAAGATAGGAGAATAACTTCGTCACCTCTTCGAGAATATTCGGGGATAAGGAATTCCTCATTATGTTGGATGTTGTCTCCAGCAAGCTGAATAGCCGCCGGCTCCAAGCTGAAAGCCGCCGGCTCCATTAGTGGGTTGTCCAAGTTGTCGACCGCATACACGATCTCCTTCAAGATCGCTCGTTCAGCATGAGTCCCACGTATCACGCGATACAAACGGAGTTTGATTATGGCATTTTGATCCACAAATTGCGTCATCGTTTCTTTACTACAGATCCTGAGAAAACTGTGGACGAGGCAATGCTAATCCGAAAACACAAAATATTAGTAATGAAAGTCAACACTATCATTTAATTATGCAAAACATTAACACTTCTAACATTGTGCATGGCAGTGCACACCAACTCCAGATAAGCCTCAACAACAGGAATCCCAAATTATGTTTATGCTTGAAATACACCGTTACGAGAAACTTAGCATGATGCTGTAACTTTTCAGCAACGGAATAGTTGAATAGTTATCCTGATACTTATAAACAAGTTGCCCCAGTCTTTCACACGCACACGCACAGCTTTGCTCACACGAAGATACATTTGGAGCATGTCTCCATATGTAGAAGTTGTTAGAACTTGTCTATGCTGACTACTAGGCTTACCAAGAAAATGAGCTGTAAAGTTGTCCGCATCCACATTCGGGGCAAAATCCCCGTCATTGTCAGCATCACTCTTGAAGCAATCGTAGCCTCTGATGTAGTGAGAACCTAGAAATAGCCTTTCTAACAATTGGGTATAATAAGCACACCGAACACCAAGAAAAAACTTAAACATTGATTCAATTCTATAACAATTGGGTATAATAAGCGTACCAAACACTAACTTTAGCACAGGAAAAAACTCAAACATTGCTTCAATCAATAACTGTAATCTGTTTCTCTCAAGCATCACAACACATAAAAGCATCACAACACATACATAGGCTAATCAGAAAAAAGTGATTTTATACCTCTGGAAAAAAAAAAAAAAAAACCCACGATTTCAGCAAGCTAAATGTGTCCAAAGCTCAGCAAAACTAAGGCACAAGATCAAACACAATAAAGCCCACTTCATTTACTTCTTTTCTTAAACTCAACCAACACAAACCAAAATCCTTATTACTAAGCATATAGTTCTGAACTTAATGCATAGCAACAACAATATAATCATGTCATTAAACCACATAGCTTAACATATACTCAACGTAAATCTCATACAAAATGGGAATATCACATAGGAGGCTAAAACATAACACAAAACCAACAATATTTACATTCACAAACCAAATTTGAATTCATCTTTTCATAGCTTAACCATAACATGAACAACATTCTTAACCAATACCCAAAAAAAAACGCTAATAAAAAATTAAAAAAAAAAAAGAAGACAAACCCTCGACTAATATAATGGCGGATTCCCGTAAGTTAGGACCATTTATTAAATAATGTCGGGCTGGATTTGAGGCAGATGCCGACATTATGAAGTGTGAATGGAGGAGATCTCTAGGTGTAGTGAAGAGAGTGAATGGTGGGATAGCGATTAAGAAAGGAAACCTAACCTAATTAAATTTGGGCATAGTAATAGCAAAGCTGACATGACCCATCAAGTACGGGCCCAATACGGCCAGAATGGAGAGAGAGAGAGAGTTTTGGTTTAAAAAATGACTTCAAGAGCAAAGAAAACTTGGCTATAGGGAATACGAATTTGCTAGGTCGACTGTAAACGAGTCGAGCAGAGCCGAGCAGGTTAAATAAACAAGCCTGAAATTGAGCTCGGCTCGTTTAACACTCGTTACACCCCCTGAGAAAGCTTCAGTGTATGATTCACATCTTCTATGCTTATATAAGATCCTTACTTCTCACATGTTGGTTACTTCTTATGGAAGAACGTAATCATATTATACAACTTCCTGGTTTTTTGTTTTCATTATAGCACATTCTTTTAATTTCATCTCTATCCTGTGCTTTTGAAGTTGGATCTTGAAGATGGTTAACTTTTATCCACTTAGACTTATTCCCGATGAGCAGATTTTAGTGATAGTTCTGTTAAAAATGTGATTAAACCAGAAAATATTATATGCGCAAACTATATCTACAATGGTCAAGTTCTTATTGGCTCAAACATACTGATATTTTGCTTCCTAGGAACTAGTGTTTACTGTTTATACTGTTAAAGGTGGTTTTGTGGAAAGTTGTGAACAGAACGTCATAAAATTTTCTTGAATTATTTTTGTAGTGGTTCAAAGATCTTTTCGACCTTTATTGGGTTTCTTAAAAGCAAAGACCCCAGTGATGGAACAGAGCAGGCTTTACTGGCTGAGCTGGGCTCCTTCAACGATTACCTTGCAGAAAATGTGAGCAAAAAGTTTTACTTTTAGTTTTGCTGTCAAGATATTATTGAAATGAAGCTTTTCATATATGGTTGGAGTTGTTGAAAACGTGAATCATTATTGTTGCTACTGCCAAGTCTCGAGCGTATGATGAACAGATAAATAACAGAGGCGTCATTCCTTAAATTTTTCTTAAATTGGTTCAATCCAATTGAATGATCCTGGAATACAAGTTTGTTACTTGGATAATGACAATATCCACCCAACCAAGTTCTAATAAGTTAAATAAGGGATTTCTCTTTACAAATTGCACCTTCGTAAGGGAATATCATCATATAAAATCAGTGGAATGTTTGAGAGGTTGATGTAAGGTTTGGCAGATAGCTGGATTGTTTTTTTGTTTATTTTTTTAATTAAGTATAGCCTAAATCTTAAGGGTTGTTTTGCAACTTCCCTATTTACATGTGACCTTGTGATGCATGGTTTTTTCGGCCTTCTACTGCATCAATGTGGAAATAATTTAATCCCTATATTCAGTCTAAGGATCCATGCTTGATCAGAGTAAACATAGTAGGTTATGAATTTATATTTCTCAACATTTGATGAAAACTCTTGCAACTCTGTGCTTACATTATCAACTTTTTAAAATGTTTTGGCAATCTGGGTTGGATTTCTAAAAAGTTCCTGTTCTTATGTTTTCATGTGTAAAGCCATCGACTTTATTGCTCTTATACTGTCTTTGATGAAATAGTCATGGTTGATCACAACTTTACATTTTGATCAACATTATGCTAAAATCTATTTTTCTTATGTTTTGTTCACTTATAGGGCCCGTTTATCAATGGGAAAGTGATATCTGCAGCAGATTTGTCCCTTGCACCTAAGCTATATCACCTTGAAATTGCTTTGGGACATTACAAGAAGTGGTCTATCCCAGCTTCACTTACGCCTTTGATTTCGTACATGAAGGTATGTTGAATGTTAGAAGTATTGTGGATTTCATTATCGTCGGTGTGCTAATTGATTTCGTAGCTTCTGAGTGTACGGCCTAGTATAAACTACATTGCAATGAATTATGCAACTTTTTCACATTTGTGGTTTTATTCTTTCCTGATTATTGCTGCATTTAGTGGGTGTAAAGGAATTGGCGTTGTGCAGCACACACAGAATGCAGTATTCTAATTAAATTTAAATATGTCCTCGTTTACATAATATAAGTATGCTCAGTTGGTATGGGCTTCAAAATTAATACGAGAGAGACAACACCTTTTTCGGGAGATATATGCCTAGCTACTACTACTAGCTATAGAATCCTTTGGAAAATTGATTTATTTCTTGATGCATCTTGAAAGCTTCGTTTGTCATCTTTGGGATGTATTTGGAAAATTAGCATCACTAATCCAGTGTGGTGATATCCTTCATCGTGTAATGCTCAGGAAATGTTTGAATGATATATTGTGCCATATCGTCTGAAAATTCTGAATTATGTCAGATTTTTTTTATTTGGATATTACTGTATCGATATCCAATATGCACTTTCCAGTATTGTAGATTAGATTAGTACTAGTGTGTGTGTGTGTGTGTGTGTGATCTTTGATTTACTCAGTATCATATAACGTGTCTCGTAAAGATGGAATTTTGAATTTTGCTCATATACCTGACAAGTAGCAATCACACTTTGGTAATAGTTTATTTCTTATTTGATATTCAGAGTATAGAATCTGTTTGGCAGAATCTTAAACGTTTTCTTTGCCTTTTTTTTTTT